GTGAAAAATTTCGATTGGGGCAAAAAATTTTGTTTTCTTTTGAAAAGTTGCTTTCGAAAAATTTCCGTGTCCCTGACAGGGGTTAACACCACTCTAAAAATTTTCGCTGCCCAATCAGATTTCAAGATCAGGTGTAACGCAGAAGAAACGCGAAATCCAAAAATCGTTTATAGCTCAACATTTTGCCTATGAAAAACCTTTTGCGCGCTAACGAAAAGTTTTTATTGCGAAATTTTATTGTTAAAAAGTTCTTTCTAACTTAACTTATTAGAAAAACTAACTTAATAGAGAAATTTTTTTTAGGGTGATTTTTAAACTTAGGCCGGCATCATCTGACGCAAGGATGCGTCTGAGGCACAAAATACATGGATACATAGAATAACTTAACATATCGGTATTTTAATAAGCATGCTATAATAGATTTGGTCTTAAGACTTGGGCTCAACGCTAAGAAAATTTTGTACAATTACCAACTAAAAACCAAATGACTATATAACAATTAAGTAAACTGTTGAGTGGAATTAATATCATGTGATAACTGGCGGTAATGTAATACAAACGCCAAGAATACTACAAATGCTAATAGATTAATTCTAGCAGAATATTAGTGCTAACAAATATATTAGCTCTTGACCAATATATTAGTTCTAATGAGAAATACTAGTTTATTAGGTATAGTAAAAATATTAGACATAGCATAATTAGTCATAACTAATACTGTAATAGATATAATAACAAGAGATCATAATGTTCTAAAATGTATAAAAAGCCGCTGTCTCTCTTGTAAAAGCATCAGTCAACAACTCAACAATAAATAAAGAGTAATCGTAACTTCATACACGAATAACTCGAGCACTTTATTGAATAAATCATAAACTTGTTATACGACTACTCTTCATATACATTTAGCCGTTTGCCTCTTTCGTAATTGCAAATCACATAATCTTAAAGCGTAACTGCAATAAACCATATATTTTACTTAATCATAAACACAGCATTGTTATCAACCGTCTAACATATCCGTCGCTAAAGTAAATTAGTTATACAGAGCTTATAAGAAGTATTTTCGGTGTAACATTATTATCAATTAAAATCATTTAGGATGATTGTCCAAAAGCATATTCTGCGTTTGATACGGCAGCATATGTCTCACCATCGCTGCAGTATATAGAGATAATGTGAAAAAACGTCTAAAAAGCGGAGCTGCTCACTTTGTAAACCATTACTTCATAACACCTTATTTCACAGACAATTAATTCATAGATAAATTCATTTTAATTTAATTCATAGACAAGTTTATACAGCTTATTTCACCACTCGTTTTATAGACAATTGATAGCTCATTTTATGACAATTGATTTTAACGGCAGCTCATTTCACAGAGTTGATTTTCACAATAGCTCATTTTATTAATAAAGTATTATAGCCATTGATATCAATGAAATAATTGTCAAGGCATTCTCACAAAATTTTTTTTTTTACTATGGTTTTTAGAAACTATATTTTGTGCTAGGAACCTAAAGCCAACTGGCATGCCATTATCAGTTCTTTAGAGGACTGCATGTATGCTTAGCTGATGTTTAATGTGTGATCACGTAATAATTTAACGTTGATAACCTATCATTCAAGTGAAAATATTACGTATCACACATGTATATATCAGATATTAATAAGCAGTTCCGGCGTCATATTGGTGTACTATAATGAGATAATGCAACATTAACACATATTACATTTTCATTTCCTTACCACATATTATGGTTGTACATTTTTAGTGTCTAAATTGTCGTTATACACAACAAACACCGATGTCCAGTCAGAGGCAGCGTAGACTATTAAAAGAAACTCCAAAATGCCAAGTTACTTCTTTCATATGTTGCCTGGAACTTTAATACGTACGTACGTACGTACGTAATCGAATATCCCAATTACAATTACAATGTTGATGTTTCTCATATATGGCATACAATGCATGTAATTTCAGAATTTACGTAATTAACAATAAACGAATTAGTAATTACTAAATTAAGTATACTTCAAAAAAATTTTTTAATATTTACCGCCACTATTTCATAAAATTTAGGATTAGGGTTAGATATAAAGGTCCAAATTTTTGGGGTCCTGAACATTTTTACTTTGTACCCTGACGTGAGTTAAATAGCAAAACTCTTTTTATTTTACTGGATTTATAATTGGATATAACGTAAGATTAGGTTGGAATTGTTGAAAGGTTTGTTACGGGATTAATATATATATTACGAATGTTTTTTGGAAAAACGAATGGAGGTAGTGGAATGGATTGAGGTGGATCTACCGGTGTTGTGTTTTTATCAGTATCGTTGGGGTTAGGAACTGTAAATTCCTTGTCGACTACTGGCTCAGGTGGCGGCGTACCTGTTTGAACAGGTGTTTCGTTAGAAGGTGGCATGTCCATTCACAGATTTCGAAAACTGAGGTTTATAGTTATCTGTTAAAAAAGGTCACACCGATACAAGATCTGCGAATACTGGATATGCAGATTAGATATTAGATCAGAGTTATCATACTGGTGAAATTTAAAATCTGATTGGATATTAAATGCAATAGCCAATCATATTGTAGATAGTCACCAGTTTCACCAAGTAGCTTAGTGGTGGCGAAAAAGAGCGCAATCACGTGATCTTCGTCCAATAATATTGCAAGATCAGGTGTAACGTAGCACAAACAGGAAAATTCAAAACAAACGTTCGTTTTTCAAAAACCGCTAATAACACAAACTTTTGCTTATGAAACCGTCTTTGGTGTCTTAATAAAAAACATTTCTTGCAAAATTTTACATT